CTAGGGAATAGTTAGGATTAGTGAAGAGAAAGCATCAATGAAAACAGTAACACAGTCTTAAATCTGAAATGAAGAAACAATGAATGTTTACCTCACTAAGAGGACAAACAGCGTGAAGTTGGGAGGGGAGTTCTGGGAATACTCTCCTTCCAGAAAAAAAAAGTTAACTGATAAAAATACAGATGTAGCGGTAGGTACAAGAATCCAGGCACAGACAACGAGGCACCGCCATTATTCACGCTTGCCGATCTCTCTACAACTCTAGCTGCTGCTGGCTTGAGATGTTGCTTACCAAACAAGAGCGTGTGTTGCTTCACCTGTGAACAGCCATACAAGGCTAACTGCGAGGCAGGGGTGATATTCCGTGTTTTTTCTTGTGTGGAAAAATAAATCTGGAAGGTTATGGCGAGTAACACCCTCAATTCTCATAGCTTAGTTCGTATTAGAGCACTGTATATTAAGTAAGTAACATAGATTGAGGCCACATTTGCATAATAAAGACCAATGCTGCTGCAAATTACATCTTGCTCTCTGCAATACCATAATTACAGACTTTATGGTCTGTAAACATCATATTTAAAGACAACTGAGCCCAAGCACATTCTAACCTATTTGTATCTTGTCCTTACAGATGGAACCAATTCCTGTCACTGGCTGAGGACACTACGTAGCAACAGCATTGGTGTAGTTTATAGATTTAGTGCAACACAATGAAAATTGGACTGCTGCTTTTTTGCCAAATTCCACAGTAACCCTTACTGCTTTTAACGAATACACCTTTGACCCATTTGGTTGCACTGGCACTATTTTGTGCTCAAAACATGAGTTAGTGCATTATAAAGATTACTTATCTTTAAGGTGTAGGTGGCTTTTTTTATTCTCAGATGCAGCCATTAACTCGTGATGAAAAACTCTTACCTGCAGAGATGTATTCCAAATGCTTAGCTGAGTGACAGCACACGCATATGCACAGGGAACACTGCCAGTACTAACAGTGACATGGCACTGGCTTCACATGATTTATCTGGGAGGGGACAGCCAACTCCTGCTTGGAAACACACCCCCGCCGCCTTTGCCTAAACCCTCATAAAGTTTCCACAGCGGCAGTGAAAGGTGAGGAGTTGAACTCTGGGCTCTGAATAGACACAGAGGACCTCTCCTAGGCTACCATCAGCAGGAGGTAAGCAAAGGATGGGCAGCCAGAGTTCAGGGCTTAGTAGCTTGAAAAGATATGATAGAAACTTTGAGGAAATAATTAAAAGGCAATGTCATGTGTCTCTTTAAAGTACAATTGTAAGCTTTTCTAGGAACTGTGGTTGCCTTCAGATCTATGCAGTGCCTGGCACAGTAGGACATCCACCAAACACGACGTCCAGTCCTGCATCTGTCCACATAGCGTGGCTGATATGCAACTTTTTGGGTGACCCGGTAAGTTGTACTTATGTTTTCCTTTCTATACGTTCTATACATTCATAGATAGTCGTAGCCTTTTTTTCTCTCAGGCGTGGTTGTTTTCCACTGTCTATGCACTATAAAGGCTGATTCCAGTGAAGTAAGGTCTACAACAGAAGATTCAAGCAGGAGGGAAAAAGGAATACAAGAAACTGTGGTAGGCAGCCAGTCCGTCACAGCAGACATACCTTGCTACTCAGCTGCGCCTGCCAGCAGCAGGAGTATTTGGCTGGTGTCAGAAGAAGGATACAATACAGTGCAGTACTGGGTACAATACAAGGAGAAGCGGGCACTTGTGCAGCCTCAGCTTGGGACTCTCTGGGCAACAGAAATGTAAGGGGACAGCAGAGGTGGGACATAGATAATAATGTAAATGTTAAAACAAATGTAGAAAACATGGCAGTCCTTTCCTTTTCAGATTATGTTGAGCAGTTTAAAACACAACTTAGACAAACTAGCTTTTTCTGATACCTGAAGTGGAAAATTCAGTGAAAACAGATATGTGACTTAATGAACAGTTGTTGGACAAATGATGAAGTATATAGAAATAATAATTAAAAAAATGTATTAGAATTCTTTATTGACTAGTGTATGTTTCCCCTTTAACATCAAGAGACTGATTGGAAAAACAATTACTTTTACTTTAGGGTTGAGAATTTGGTTTGGATCAGATTTTGTGTTAACTAATTTGAAATAACCAAAAAGGAACTTTTTTTTTTTTTTAAACACCTCCAGTTCTATCTAATATTTGGAAATAGCTGCAGGCAGCTGAGATCTTCACTGGTTGATTCGGGGCTGTGTAACATGCCAACATAAGATCAGTGCCAAGCAGTTGAATGGCTTTTTTGTTTGCCGAAACAGCCATGGTTACACAAATGCTTTTTTAATGTATTTGGTGTATTCTGACTCAGAAAAGACATTATCCAACAAAAAAGAGTAGGTGGTAATGAGATGTTGGGGAAAACCTAATCCATCAAAATTTATCTTTTTTTAATGTAAATAGTGTAAAATTTTGTCCTGTAAATGTGACTTAATAAAGGTAGTGTATTGAGATTTCGGGGAGAGGGAGGACAAGCAGACATGGCAGTACTGTTTCAAACCGGAAGTCTTTGTCCAAGCAAGACTTCTGTCATAATTTGATTATTTTAAAAGGAGTACTACTAGAAATGTGATTACAGTTTTAACTTTCCTAAACTCACAGAACGTAAGACTCAATCAAGCAATGGCCCTTTCTCCTCCTAAAAACTCAAAGCAGAATCACATTTTCTACTGTGCTCTGCTCTCTAGCTCTTCGCATGCAAAGATTCAGCAGGGTTTGACTCAGCACTGCTGTATGGAGGAACCATTCTGGAGCATCAGCCTTCCAGCAAGCAGCTGAGATACCCCTTTTATGTCTGCCTCTGTAAGATCTTATGTTGTCTACTACAAGGTCATCAGGGTAAAATAATCTCTTTAACCACAGAAAACTATGGCCAACACTATTTACTGTACTGTCCCAGCAGCTCCCTACTGAGTGGTTGTAGAGAAGACAGGGAGCTGCACAGCAAAAGGGCAAGGGATATGAGTTATAGCAAGCAAAATTCTGATTAGATACTAGGGGGAAAGAAAGAAAAATTACAGTGAAGGTAGTCAAATACTGGAACAGATTTCCCAGAGAAGCTGTGGAATCTCCCTTTAAGTATCTCTGCAGATACTTAAAACTCAACTGTTCAATACTCCAAACAACCTGCTAAGAAAGCTGGAATGGAGCAAAGCCTCAAAAAGGAATGGATTATTCAAGCTTGACATATTTCAAGCATCAGTAGTGTTTTCTTAGAGACAGTGGGCACACCTGCACTGAGAGGACCTATGTGACAAGATGGGCATATAGTGCATGTTACATAGCATAAAATGCATCATTGTCATCAGAAGGTCTTTTGCAAATGAAGATAAGACCAATTTGTCCTGTGGTAAGTTATTTACGCAGTTCTATTCAGGCTAGCAGGTGATTGCTGTGATTGCTACTTACAGGTTTTCCTCATCAGATATGTTAGGGTCCAACTATATTTTTTCAATAAAGTTGCGATTGGCAAACTTGATATATCGGAGAAAAAAAACATACGGAAGAGCTCATAGACTGGTGCTAGTAGCTCACAAAGTCTAATAGCAAGGAGCTCTAGATCTGGGGAAAGACGAGAAGTCCTAGGACACTGTGACTCCCTTGACACATTCTCATTTTAAGCAATAGCACCTTACGGCACCTCTCACACTACTTTTTGTGGCCAAGGGAAACAAAGTTAACTTGTTGTTGGGTTTGGTTTTTTTTTTAAGGCTGCTACCAAAAGTTAGCATTTCCCATAGGAGTATGTAACACCCTAGTGTCGAAATAGGTGGGTGGGAGTTCGGGCTCATGGTTTCAAGTTTCAAATCACTTTTTGCCTGATTTTTCTTTTTCTTCTCAGAACCGTTTAACATCAGTTTCTTCCACTAAAGTGGAATTTTGATGGACTGGCCTTGTCTTTTTCTGTCCATGAGGACAGAGCAGGAACCCAAGCAGGAAGGTGTCCAATTTTTCTGTTTCGTGCCCCTTGATCTGCATACTAACACGTAACATAGGGAAACAGAGCTGGCAACACCTGTAAATAAACAGAGTTGCATTTGTAAGAATGTACCCGTAAAGCTATCATTTCAAAGCTAAAGTATAACCTCCTGTCTAATACGGGGACTTTTTTTTGGCAGTGTATTCCTCCTTTCTGAAACGCTGCAAGAGGAGTACTCCCAAGAGGCTTGCTAGCATCATAAAGGTAACAGAATATCATCTTTCTAATGAATAATTTTCCAACTGTTTTTCTTTGTACCTTAGAGAGGTGCCTTTCTACCTTCTTTGTACTTTCCTTTTTACCTTAGGTAACATAGTTTTCCTGTGCTTGAATATTCCTCTGTGTATGAAAAGTAAAATGGATTAAATTCTGCAATCCTCAGTAATCTGGCCTTCATATTATTAGAACTCATGTGTTTGTTCTTAAAGGCCAGGTGAAACCAAGAAAACCTTAAGCAATGTTTTGTTAGCTTTTGCTAATTATAATTTATGGTAAGAGTGCAGCAATATAAAAACAGCTACTCAATAATCCCTAGGACAGCCACAGCACATCCTGAAACACAGAGGTCTTTCCATGGCCATGGACAGCAGTGAAGCCCCGGCAGCTACTTAAACCTTGGGTTTGATTTTTTTTTTTTTTTTTTTTACCAAAACCACCAACAAATGGTCAAGCCAGAGCCAAATGCAGGGAGATTTATTACGAGGTGGCCACCTGTCCATTTAGTACCTTAAACCCTCAAATTGACCATAGCGGGACTTGAAGCGAAGATGAGTTTCTCACTTACCATGTTCTTAAGCTGTAACTTACAGTTCCTCTGCCACGTGAGCGAAGGCTGCGTGGGGCTCTACTGTGTTAATTCTTCATGGCACAAACTCACATTGTTGTAGTCGGATTTTCGTTTTCATCCTTGTTAGTTTAACAGCATGCTGTCATTATGGAAGAGCGCATGTCCCATATCATCATTTCCTTGCAGTCTGTCAAGGGCTGGAGTTCCTACTGAGTGCAATGTATTCCTGGGCTGGATCAAGGGAGGCAGCCGTGCCACAGCACACCAGTGCCACGATCAAAAGCTTTGGTTTTGGCTGTTCTCCCATTTTTCTTTGTTACCCTTGCATCCCTGTTAGTCTTCTGGGACGACACTAACTCATCAGGAAATAAAGGGATTTTTCTTCTCAAGAGCTCAGCTTTGCTCCATGGCCAACACAAAGGAGGGAGCAGGACAGGACAGAGCACAGAGTAAATATTTTACAGTTTTGCAACAGCTTGAAGTTGAAGGGATTTGCTGTTGTCAGCAGCATATTCTTCCACCCTCCAGCTGTACAAGGTTCACTCACTCGGGTCACCTCTTATTTCAGATGAAAAGAGACTCTGGATATTCCACCATGGCTGAGCAGCAGAAGCAGGTAAAGGCTCAAGGTCATCTTTTAAAGACTGCACTATGCAGGTGCTTTGGAAGGCTGGATGTGTTGAATCATCTTCTAAGAGATGTGACAGACACATCCACGCTCTGATCACTTTAGCATAACTAGGAGCTCATCTCTTATCACTACAGCAACATTTTCCCAGCACTTTTTCCCTTCCAGTGGACTGCAGCTACAGCACCAAGTGGTGAAGGGCCTGTTGTCTTTGCTTGTGTGGCAAGAGACCACGACACTCAATTGTAGCCAGAAGCTGTGCCACCTAACTGGGCCCAGTTCTCAAAGTGGTCCTGCTAAACAATACGTTTCCCAGCTGGTGTGCCGCAGTCTCTTTACCTTGCAGGCAGCAGCCCTGTTCTGCACTTAAGGAATTTGCCAACTTGTACAAGCCCTTTAAGGACAGGATCTCAAGCGATCCATGGATCAGAGTTTGGAAACTACTGTACTGGAGCTGTTGGCATGAAGAGAAACAGGGTGTTAGCACTTGGACTTGATGAACAAGATTTTTTTTTCCTATGTAAACTTCTCTGCTTCTACAGCTCATGTAATTATACTGTGTGGGATTCATTCACGTAATCACTTCAGCACGTGCAATAAAAACACAGCCTCAAAACAAGACGGTTTCTAGCCAAAGGGCTTTTAAAATAGCTTAAATGCTGAGCTTTAGCTACTCTCTGTCCTATCTCAAAGCAGGACATACACAGTGTCTGATGAGTATTAGGAGTTACTAGTTTTTGAAACTCTTGAGTTCTTCAGCTAAAAGATGCTAAAGAATCTGAAATACTATTTGATCTAACTGAAAATTCTGACGCTTGTAAGACATCAGAGTTTTTCTTTGGTATGTTCGTTCTTCATCCCAGGAGAAACAAGGATTTATAGGATACGATTCTGTTAAAAAGCTCTAAGCTTTTTATAGCTTTTGTAACCTTTTTTCTAAAGAATATGTAGAAGGTGTTCCAGGGTCTAAAGATTAAGAAAGTCTTATGTCAGCATACATGAGGCATAACATGGATGCAGTTGCAAGTATGAAACTACTAAGAGAGCAAATCTCCAGCCCAGAATCCAGCATGCACTGTCTGAAGCTGGAATAGATGGCTTTCGCTAGCCTTGCGTTTGTAGTTCTGTACAGCCAGTGATAATGCTGGCAACTGATTGCATTGCTTCTAATACAAACAAGAGTCCTTTAAATTACTTCCTCCCCGGTTGCTTACTTGATTAAAAAAAAAGAGATGGTAGAAGCAAGCATATGTTTGTTTTAACGAAGAAAGTTCCAGTGCTAATGAGCAAAGTTCTGTCCTGGGACAGATAAATATTGCTGACAAGTCCTGGGCAATGTTTAAAGTTCTGTAGCTGTTACAGAATCTTAAAGAAGCTCTCAGCACTGAAAGCCGTGTAGAGAGGATTCCTCTATATTGCATTACCCTAAACACACCTGCGTTCAACATTTATTAGCGAGCTGCCTCTCTTGTTTGTCGTCCCTGACAGGAGACAAGCAGAACAGCAACTATGAATCATACTATTTTTACTCCAGTCTGTTTTTGCAGCACAACAACACAGTTAAACAGGAAGGACGGAGTAATGGACAAGACACTAGCTGGTTATTACTCAATATTATTTTAGAATTGCATTGATTATTTTTTTAATCATTTATACTGCAGATAAATGTAATGCGTATACATCCAATAAACCCAAATTAAGATTTCTGAACTCCAGAACCAATTCCAATTTGGGCTACTCTAAAAGACAGATAGTTAATTAAATATTTGTCATATATTTGATAAACAAGTTGTTTTTTAATATTTAAATGCTCAAATATATTGAATACTGATTTTTGAATATAGTTATTCCTGGAATCAAGAGGTCTCACTGGTAATTTTCTGACCCTCTTGAAGTTGCTTTGTGTAGTTAAAATCCTTACTGTGATAAAAGTCATGCTAACATCACAGGTGCCCTTATGCTGTGTACAAGAATATTTCTTTAGTAGATATCATTTCCATGACTGAGAGCAGGGATTTAGAAAACTTTATACTTTCAAAAGTTGTGTATTTTAGCTCCTTGTTGTTCTATACAGATGGCACGTGGTAGCTACTAAACAAGTTGTACTCTCAGTACTAGAGCTGAGTTGTACCTGCGGTGGCCTAAAGGCACAGGAAGGTGAATTATGCAAGGAAAGGTAATATCCTGTATTAAACCTCTGTTATACTTGCGGAAAAAAAGGCAAGCTTCTGGGCACGTGAGCCTGACTTCAGAATCGGTCTTCAAAGCAAAGAGGAAAGTTGAGAGGAGTGGTTCTGGATTAACTGGAGCTGTTAATCAGATCATCTGGGCACAACAATTCTTGACTACTGCAGGGAGAAAGCATACTGCATACTGGGAGGAAGAATATACTGGTAGGGTGAGGGAAGTGTTGAGATGGAGCACCATTCCTTACCCCCAGGTCTTCCATGTGTACTGCTTTGAGTTATCCAGAAGCCCCTTATATTATAGTCCTCCAGGTACTGAGAAGGGGGGGGGGGGGGGGGGGGTAGAGAAATCAGTGGTCCTTTCTCTCCCTTTGTTTATTCTGGAGAAATTCCATGTCAGTGACACTTCAGGTGACAAGGCAGATGGACGTGTGTGTACTACCCCCCTCAATTACACACAGTATCCCATAAAACAGCTTTGTTGCTATGTTCTTTAGGGTGTTAGTGAAACAAAACAGGCCATCGTAGAACTGCCTTGACCTCCTGCATTTCAAATACAAAAATGCTAGTGTAGGACACAGCAGCACATGCTTACTCTTGTTGCTTGCTCACAGGAAGTGAAGCTCTGGGATGCCATGAAGATCACTGCCTTTGTCCTTGGCACAGGCCTGCTCGTATTCACTGCCTTAGCGAACTCTGTTTCTTGGTAAGATTGTTCAAACAAAGGGGCTTGAGGAGAAACTTTTCTGCGGAGAGGGGAAAAAGTGGATGATTAAAAGATGGGCAACCAAGAACACTTATTCCCACAGGTATGTGCAGAATATCTGGGACCCTCCAGGCCATTTCTGGCAAACAACATGGCTAAAGTTCTACTACCTGTTTGATGGAAAGGAGTGGACAATCTTCCTCCTTGGTGAGTTACTCAGGTTAACAACCCTCTGCTGTAGGAGGAACCAGCCATGTATTACATCCAGAAGGGGACATGGACATGCCTTCCCAAACTCACTAATCCTCCTACTGAAAAAGCATATGTAGGCTTCAAAGCCAGCCACAGCTGATGTAGTGCAACGGTGCTGCCTTTGGACTGGTTCATTATTAGACCCCCTATACAGATTGAAAATTTGATCTTTTTGCTGCTGCTGAAATGGCTTCCCTTTGAAAACACACCCTTTGCTCCTGTGAGAACTGAATGACTCGGTAGAACTAATTACTGAAAATTAAAGTAAAATTAGTGAATTTTACTCTTGCTGTAGCACCTATAAAATTCTCTGCCTGTGATTAACAGGTGGTGAACAGGCCTGGTAGGGACATTCAAAGGTCCCAGGGATCAACTTGACCTTATCCAACTTGTATTTAAAACCCACCCATAACAGAGATCCTGCAGCCTCCCAGAAAAACCCTTTCTTAGCCTCAGTTGTGGCAAGTCTCAACCTACAAGACGTACTCTACTGTCTACTCTAACCTCCTCCCCATTCCCTAGTTCTTACCCGGGTGTCAGAACCTACCCATATTCCATTTTAAAGCCTCTCAGGGTAGGGGATACACACCTGGCACATCTGGGTCCCAGCAAGGTCCTCTGGATACTATGCCACTGTATTTTCCTTCTGATTTAGCCATAGCTCTCAATTTATTCACACATCTCTGCCCTTTCCTCATGCCACAGGGGCTGCATTGGTTCCTAGCCTTGCTTTCTGGTGCTTCAATGGAATCCTTATGGTGGCTGACGTAACAGGAAAGCCAGCTTTCATTACCCGCTATCGCATTCAGCTGGGCAAGAATGATCCTGTAAGTATTTCTCACTCTGCCTCTTCTGCTGGCTAAACACTTCCTGCAGTCTCTTAGGCTAGGAGCAGAGAGAAGAACCTGTTGTGCTTTTCTCTTGCAACCAGTTAGGATTCAAGGAGAATCAAGCTGAGTCTTGTATATCCACTGCAGAGAGGAAGGCAGTTCTTGTAATTAGGCTACTGATCAGATCTGGATTGACAACTTGTTAAAAAGTTGATCCCAAAGCTAACACAGAAACAGCCTACAAATCTTAAAGCTCTTTATCCTCCCAACTCAAAGCCACATTGCTTCTGATTTAGCCTCAAGTCCTGACTTCTCTTTTGCAGGTGGACACAAAAAAATTGCGCCAAGCCATCTACACAGTGCTGTGTAATCAGTTCTTTATCTCCTTGCCCATGCTTGTGCCCATGTTCTACGTCATGAAATGGTGGGGCAACACCTTCAGCAAGGAATTACCCGCCTTCTACTGGTTTCTTGTGGAGCTAAGCATCTTCACCTTAATAGAGGAAATTCTCTTTTATTATACACACAGGTGAGCTGAGCACAGGAACAGGACTCTCTGGTTTTCCCCCATGCCTTTAAGCTTATACCTATCATCTCCTGCAACAGCAGTGGTCCTAGTGCCCCCTCTTCCACCAATCTTGTGTTTATATGGGAAGACTTACAGGTCCTGGAATCCACCCTTACAACACGAGGCTTGGGTGCTGCAATGCTGCTAGTAACTCTAGTAAGCAAAAATAGGTAAAATTACAAAGGTGGAGCAGCTTAGAGGCTAAGAAAAAAAACAAAACAGCTAGCTTCACGCAAAAGCTGTAACCCACCATTCTTCAAAAAGAAAACAAGTCTGACTATCCTGAAAGAAAAAAGCTCAAGAGGTCAGCGACTCATCTCCCGTTCACTTGTACGGCACCTACGAAGCAGGGCCTGGTTCCTGACACTGCAGGCTTTCTAAGCGCTAACACCAACATTAAAGGAAAAACTTAAAACAAGGAAGAGTAAAGACTGCAAGGCTGCGCAGAAGCAGGCCCGGCATTCTCAGAAATATGTAGGTTTCCCTTTTGGACAAATGCACACAAAAAACCCATTAAAAAATCCAATTTCTTAAGGGCCCACAGAACCTAAAATTCTGCTTCTAATAGTTGCCAGTAGGTAAAGTCAAAACAGTGAAAATATAAAGTGAGTCTTTTCCTCAAAAGTACTCCCAGGTTTGAGCAAGTCAGTCATTCAGGGACTTTTATTTATGTGATTTATCTGGATTTAAGTTTAACATCAGTCAGCGGACACATACATTAAGTGAGGGCTCTGTGTTAAAGAAAAAGAGGGAAGCCAGGAGTCCTACACTCTTCTTCCCAGCTGCTCTAATTTTTTTTTTTTTTTTTTAAAAAGAGGCACGAGCAAGTCCCCAGCAGAAATTCTGTGTTAGGTTACTCTGTGTTCCCTTCTTACGGAGCTCAAAAACCTACCTTTCTCTCTTTTCTCTACTTAGGCTTGTTCACCTCCCGCTCCTGTATAAGCACATTCACAAGAAGCACCACGAATGGACAGCCCCCATTGGCGTGGTCTCCGTTTATGCTCACCCGGTAGAACACATAGTAAGTGGATTCCCCGATGGTCACCCTCCAGTTCCTACGTGGCGTGTGATTTCCATGAGATGAGGAGGAGTGGTAAGAGAAGAAAAGCAAACACACCCTTAGAATCTTCTTTCTTAGGATGAGGGAGGTAAGCTGCATTGCCAAGAAGTCTAACTGTGGGAGGGTTGCAGTACCCATTTACACTGAACACCGCTAGCTTTACAAGCGCAGATCCAAGGGCCTCCAACAGATAAGGAACTGACTGAATGGTGCTTCCTTGAGCACAGAGAGGGCTGGGAGCACCGACGAGGCTTTCAGCACGAGATGTGACACTTAACACAGTCCGGGTTACTGAACGGAGTCAGAATTCTATCAAGATTTTCATGCTGGTGGCTGGGATCAGTGTTTGCAGGAGTGTCTCCCAGCCGAGACTTCTCATGCAAACACACCCCACCTTCAGAAGACTCCACTTCTCAGTGCCATCTCCTGTTGACAATAGTCCAGGGCTGCAGCACCAGCTCTGTGAGTCTCCCTGATTGACAGTCTTTGGGCAGCAGAATGACTTTCTATGTTCGAGTCCAGCTGAGCCTCGCTGGCACAGTAGGCTTGGTCTGGGCAGTGACAGCCATTTGTGCCACTGGTAGGACGCAATGGAGTGAGGCAGCTGAGACCATCACATCGCCACCTTTGACTGCACGCGTCGCCAGGCCGGTGCCCTTTGACAGCTAGGTTTCCCAAGAGCAGCTTCAGCATTATTCCAAGGTGAAGCTGAAATTCAGATCTCTGACTGCAGGGTGATTTACTGGAATCATGCTGCCCTCACACCCCTGGTTTGATCTCACATCTAACTTCTACCAGCTTAGGGAGCTTGGGCTGTGACTCTGTTTTGCAGCGAGTAAAACTCAGTTAGCTCAGAGAAAATTATTTCTTTGACGATTATTTAATTTTAGTAAGGTGTTTGCAGAGGCATCTTCCCGTTATGCTGCTTGCACAAAACTAATGCGATGTATCACCCAAGTGAAACAATTCAGCTCCTAGAGGAGAGTCTGCTTGTTGTGGACCGATTAATGAGGTAGTTTGCTTCTCATTTCTAGCTCTCCAACACACTGCCTGTCATGACTGGCCCGATGATCATGGGGTCTCATATTGTGTCAATCGCAGCGTGGTTCTCCATTGCTCTCATAACAACAAGCATTTCGCACTGCGGCTACCACCTGCCCTTCCTGCCGTCGCCAGAGTTCCACGACTTCCACCACCTCAAGTACGTCTGGGCACTGCTCAGCTTCCCCTTCCCCTCCTGCCTGCGCCCTGCCACTGCTGACAGGCAAAGCTCCTTTCTGAGGGTCAGGTGGGTTTGCATAACTCGGGTACAAGCGGAGAAGCCTGTCCAGTTGGCCTGACAGCAGGCTGAACGCTCAGTTCTTAAAGCGGTTAAACAGCGATTGGGATTTCAGAGGACTCCAGCCCACTGCCCACGCAGCTGCCAGCCACCTCACTGACATCTGCCCTCCTCCATCAGCTGACTTGGAAACTTTCTCCAAAGCACAAACACCGCAGCTCGGGCCGGGCATTTCAAGTTTCCTAAGCTTACATATGAGGAAAGAAA